GACGTCACTCTTTCAAAAAATACTTCTGGCGCCGGTCTGCCGTTATATCCTATGTTATTCACAGATAAATTATGTTTCTAACAGTGAGAGATATTTCAAAATCGGTCTAGTAGTTTTTGAGTTATTTCAATACATACAAAAATACATATCTTTATAATATTATAATAGTATAGCTGAAAACAGCATTTACAATAATAATCAGTCATTGAGTTAAAATGCTTAAGATTGCATGTTCAGATATTCAGCTGAGAGTATGGAGCACATATTATGTGTCTTAGGCAAAGCCAAGTTGACTTACCAAAGCTGGAGGTATTTCAGTCTTCATCCTGCCAGTGAACATATCGGAGAACCTTGCTATCTTCAATTCAGGATGTCGTTCTAACGCTTTAGCGATAGCCTGTGCTGCTGCCACACCGAGGGTATTCCCCGTTAATGTCAGATATTGTAAATCAGGACACGCATTGATTGCATCTATGATCGGTTGTGCTGAAAATTTGTTAATTAAATTATTTATATTAGTTTTGTAGCTTTCCACACTATATCTAAATGAACCATATGGTGCTGGAGGCCCGGTTTTAGTAATTTTTTTTATTATTATAATATAAGGTGGCAAATGAGCAAGCGGCCACCAGAATCCACCAAAATGAAAAGCGACCGCTACCCATAAACATCCTCAATTACATATACGTTGCCTACCCTAGATTGACGAAGGACGAGACGCCCACAAAGAGGACTATTCCTCTTCCTATGCCTCTCCTCCGCCGTCAAATCCACTTTTCCTTCCCATCTTTTCCTCCTAAGAAAAGGATGAATAGGGAAAGGGAGTAAATTAGGCCTCCAGCACCACACTCATCAGACGAAACGCGGAATTACTTCCACTTCACTGTCTGTACTGTCTTCTGTGGTCGTGGTATTACACCGGGCGAGCCGGCCCATTCGTGCGAAGATGTTAAAGCGGGCTCTACCACTATACTTTTTCCTTTCCACCCTTTTCTTAAGAGGGAAGGATGGGAATGGAATGAATCTCATGTGCACTCCAGACTTTGTTTTAAATCTGTGCCAAATTTCAATAAGATATGTTGAATCGTTGCAGAATGATCGAGTAAACATTAAAAAACTAGATTAATGAATCCCACAGGAACCGTAACTATTCCAGAGATAAAAAGTAGCCTATGTGTTTTTCCAGACTATGCTCTAAACCTGTGCCAAATTTCATGGAGATCTGTTCAGCCGTTTAGGACTACAAACGCTAACAAACATCTATCCATCCATCCATCCATCTAAACTTTTTGCATTTATAATATTAAGTAGGAAGTAAGATAGAAAAGATTTGTATTGAAATAACTTGAAAACTACTGGGACGATTCTAAAAAACTCTTCTCCATTAGAAAGGTAATTTATGGATTGCGTCAAAGGTGGTAAAAAGGTAGTGATGACTGAGATGATGAGTTTTGTGGAGGACAAAAATCTGTTGCGCCTACGGGAGTAGGATAAGGAGAAAGATGACTAGAAAGGTAATTTATCAGTGAGTAGTATATTTTTTTTTTCACATGGTAAAGTCTCAAGCAACAGCAAGTTTCGAACATTAGTAAGAAGTAAGATTATGACAGAATCTTTAGCACACTGTATATCTCCAATAAAGAGCTCGGAGTCACCCGCAATTAGTGACTAGGATATAGTAAACACTACACTGAGGGACTTTATACATCTTACAATGTCTTCACAGATATGTGGAACATTTTCCTTCACAGTAAGAACGATGGGTAAATTATGTACATATGGAATTCTAAAATCTAATTCCAATGAAGATTCAAACCAGGACATGTTGATTACAAGCTACCGAAGCTCCCATTATTGATAATATGATTATTCAATCAAGCTAGAGCTAGTAGAACCTCGATAACTCAAACCTTGGTAACTTAAAAACCACTATAACTTCAAAAAATAATATGTTCCCTTCCCATCAGAGCCCAAAACCTCTACAACATAGACCCTTGGTAACTTTAAAATATTTTGTTTCCCTTGGACTTTAACTAATCAAGGTTTTACTGTAAGTATGATTAGTATGACTAGCTTTCACTCATGATTCTATCTGCATGACTTTAAAAAGTACCTTATGTGTTCTACCAATTTATTCTCTATATCTATGACAATCGAGATCTGTTCCGACTCTAACAAACATCCATCCATCTAAATTTCGCATTTATATTATTAGTATGTAGCTTTCCATGCATCAAATGAGAACATTGTTTAAAATGTATTTGAAAACACTGTATGACTGTTTATGTACAGAAAACAATTAAATTACTCCATAATATTTCTAGAGTGCGTTAGGAGAGGGTATGATTGCTGCCGGAGCTCGTCTCTCAGTGTTGGAACTAAGTGATAATGCTTTCGGACCTATTGGCGTTCAAGGACTGGCAAAATTATTACAAAGTGATGTTTGCTCACAGTTGCAGGTATGTTATTTATCTTTATTGTTATAAAGAGGTAAGATTTGTATTTTTGTATGTATTTGATTCACGCAAAAACTACTGGGCCGATTTCAAAAATTCTTTCACCATTAGAAAGGTAATTTATCTATCATAGGCTGTATTGTGTATTGTTTTTTTAATTTAATGTGGGCGAAGTCGCGAGCAACAGCTATTATTGTAAACAAGAAAGACTTGTAATTTTATATGAGCGTCGGTGGCTCAGAGGTTTAAACACTTGACTTGTAATCCACAGATCTATCTATATTCATATCAATAATTTCCAAATTATAAAACTCATAACAAAAATCATCAACTTTATATATCAATTAAGGCTAGTTCTAAAAGTTATGTGAAAAGGCGGGAAAATTGTTTTTAATTTGAAAATCGAAATATTGAAATATTACATAAGCACTTTAATCGTGCAGCCAGTATTAGTGTACATTTACTCAATTTAAAATTAAAACATACGAAGAGATTAGTAAGGTTATGTTTTGCATAATTAACTATTATATTATCTAAAGAGAACGTTTGAGAGTTAATATAAAATAATTTTTAACATATCAATGACAAATATTACTAGAAACACTTACCATCTTTCTCTGAATCCAATTTTAATGATTTTCCGGAAAAATCCACACCAGTTTCCAGCTTACTCGGATCCGTGAGCGCTGAATTTATAGAATTAAAATCGAACGTAGCCATTTTTATTACACAATGATAAATTATATTCAATTAATATTGTAAAACAATGCAAACTTTATAACAATAGAAAACAGAAAATGCAGAAAACACGAGCAACGAATTTTTTTTAATTTGTCAATATCAAACTTCAAACCGGCTTGTCTTATTGTTGCCACATACAAAATAGAAGTTTCGTTTACAACTTACATACCTACAGTTTTGTATTTAAAAAAATTAAAACCACTTCACTTTCATCCGTCCCTCTGGAAAATCATTGTAATGAGAATAAATAACTAAAAAGTGAATACAGAGATCACAATATATCACAACTTTCTTAAGAGAGAGGTATTAATATGAAAATTCTGTTTATTTGAACACTATTGTTAAACATTTCTAATGACGCAGAGCGGAAAAAAAGAAAATTGAACTAACTAGAAATTAGAAGTAAATATTAATAGCAACAATTAGCTATCAAGATCCCAGCTATAAAACCTAATACTATAAGACAAATTGTATAAAAGTCTTGCTTTGTCTCGCTGTGGGGTCTATCATGTTAAGCAATAGATTTATCGCGATATCATAATATTATAATGACTAAAGTGATTTTTATAAGGTAAAGTGATATCTTTCGTTACGTATTTTAGTTTAGGTAAATCATGTCATGATAACTTGCTAAAAACAAAAAAACAAGAACATCTAATCTTGAATTTTTCGAATTCTTATCACATCCTTATCAGCTTAAATTCAGTTTTCGAACGTAGCTGCCAGTATCAAGAGCGTGGTAAAGTGTCAAACTTGTACCTCCTTGATTCGTACTTGAACTGCGTCTAATTGTTTGTTAATTAAATATACACATAAATATTACATATTCCACCGGTCTGTCATTTTGTATAGTGTGGCTACGTGACTGTAAAGACTGACGTTATGGCGGGTTTGTATTTTAATAATTGTTAATACCCAAATTGCGTATATTCCTATATAGCCTGTTTACATTGCTATATTTTTTCATATGTAGTTTTTATTTGTATTAGTTTAAAACATTTCCTCAATGTAGTATTTTTATTAAAACATATTTAAAGAGCTTTTAGAAATAACTTTTCAAATAAAGTTACGGTTAACCTTTGAACAGTTTTTAAGTATTGAATAAATTACCGATGTTAAGTCGCCTCGTAAAGTAATGAAGGTCTGTGACGTTTTTTTTAATTTCGGAAAGCTAAGGTCAACTTTGTGGCTTAGTTCACTATTTTACATTCTTGAATATTAAATAGTTTTACGTAAGAATGTTAGTCAATTCACAATAATAGATAAGGTAATTTCATCATGAAATAAATTTTAATTACGTTTTTTTTATTGATAACATTATTACAGGTTAAAAAAACACCTTATCCTTCTAGATTGTGTTTATAATGTTATTTTAATTGTAGAATTATTTTAAGTAGTGGAAAAAAATTTACTAAACTGAATTCATTAAATAAAAACATATTAAAACTTTTTACTATAAAAATTATAATTAAAAACAACTGATAAGACAGTTTTGTACATTTCCTGTCAAATTGATAAGAAAATGTCCAAGAAATGTATATGAAGTTGTTATTTTCTAATGTAAAAAGTTACATGTTAAATAAAAAGTTATTGAAAATCAATTCTACAGACATTTTAGTTTTAAGATGTAAAAGGAAAGGTTAGATTTGATGTCTAGAATCTAGACTTAAAGTGTTGGTAACACAACTTAAATTGTAGACTTTTATCAAAGATTAAATTGTTTAAACTATCATGAGACATTACTTTAAGAGAAAATTAATTAAATATGGCTCCGGCTCCAGTGCAAAGCGCGACATGGTAGCGAACAAAACTAGATTGTGCTTGATGAGATTTTTGATTTTTTTTTTTTTTTGTTTCGTTCTGTTGTTTTTGTGTTATTAAGTGTTTAGTTGCAAATATGACATGGTTATGTTGATGTTCCCAAAGTTTGTTTCGCTGCATTTGTACTCATTATATTACACGCCCGAAGGGGTACTTATTGTTGTTACTTTATATAGATGTTTGTATAATGTTTGTATAATTTAATTGCAATAAATAAATAAATAAAAAAATAATACTGGCCCTAAAGAAAGATCCCCGAAGGGTCTGAAACTAGTCGGTGCCGTCACCGGAGGATAAAAGCATGAGTTGGGCCGTTTTTAATTAATTTTCGCTGTATCAAAGAGTTTAAACAAAGATATAGAGTAGATATTAAACACTTGTAACATTTTATATAATCTCTCTAATAGCTAGCTGGTGTTCATCCACTTGCCCTTATCCCTTATGGAGGGTCGGCACAGTATGTGCTGCTCTTCCATACATCTCTATCAGCCGTCATATCTGAATCCACTCCTTTCTTAAGCATATCTTCCTTCACACAATCCATCCATACTTTCTTCGGTCTTCCTCTTCCTTTGTAGCCATCCACATTCAATCTCAACACTTTCTGGTTTATGTCCCCATCATTTCGTCGCATAATATGTCCATACCACGCAAACCTTTTGCTTCTCAATTTCTCCACCACTGGCGCTACTTTCAAACTTCCTCTAATGTACACATTCTGGTGTTCATTAGTCAAAAATCACAAAAATCACTCAAACACCGAGAATCATTATAGTGTGTCTAAATAATTTAGATTAGTTTGACAATTCATTTTAAATTTAGTAGGGATGGGTTGTGTAAAATCAGTCATGAATCTTATCGATTTTCGATTTTTATTATTATAGAAGTTGAAATCGATAGATTTATAGTTATAACTTACGAATTTTAAAATAAAAAAAACACTGTTTTCTCAAATTATTAATGACCATAGCAAATAATGAGAGTAAATAAATGTTTATTACTACTACAGCCGTACATAATCGAATTGGATTTCACTATTATTTCTGTCATCGCTAAATTATCTACACTATAATCAATACTAGAATTGTCCTAGAAATTAGTTAATAAGAAAATAATAATTTTAGTTGAGTTTGATAATTATTTAAACTGAATATCGATAGTTCAAAATTGTTAGCTGCGTGTTTTGTCACTACGATACCTGTCTATTAAGTATTTGCTTTCATACAAATTGAATTCGATACTTCATATGCGTCATTTATCAAACTAATCTATGTTATTTAGACAAACTATAGGTGTGTTTGTTACCACACAGAGAAGTTACCAGTAAAAATGTTTCCTGTTGTCTACTCTATATGTTTCTCTAATCTGTGTTATTGTTCACATATATGAAGCATATCAATAGATTACAGCTCAACTTAATTTATACCTTATTGAATATTAATAGAGCTTATTTTACCATCTTACCATGAATGACCTGGCTTGAAGACAGTTTTGATGTAGCAATTCTGCCTTTTCTCTGATAATTTGTGCTAGAGGCCTACTATTAGTCCTTTTTCCTTCCCACACTTTTTTTTATAAAGGACCACCTGTTCCCTTGTGCCTTCATCCACATGAAATTGTAAAAAAAATATTTTTTTGTTTACATTTGTCAAATTATCAATAGCAAATGTCGTTTTGACATGACATAATAAACCTTAGCAATCTTCCTTCCTTGATGTTGGCAGCAACTTATGGTCTCTTTCCCACATTAGGGTTTTTATCCAAAATATTTATTCCCTAAGTTTAATATCGTTATAATATATAGCCTAAAGCGTGACGTAAGTGCAGGGCTTTTTTTAAAAAAATATGTTGTAATTGCTGATATCTTAGGCAACAAAGATGTGTGTGTTTACTCTTTATTATAATAGTATAGATTTCTTTTATGTTTTCAGCCACAAGCAACCCTTATGAAAAATATCTTAAGGATATTAACATCAATGGAAAAACATTTAAATATTACGATTTAAGTGCATTAGGCAGTAAATATGGTGAGTAAATTTTATTACTTACTAGCTGTTTTAGTGCGGCTTCATCCGCATGATATTATGAAAATTTTATTGTTTACATTTGTCAAATTATCAATTACAAATGTCAAAATAACATGACATGACGACAACCTTGCTTCCTTGATGTTGGCAGCAACTTATGGTCTCTTTCCCACATTAGGGTTTTTATCCAAAATATTTACCCCCTAAGTTTAATGGCTTAAATGTATAGCCTAAAGCGTGACGTAAGTGTCTTTTTATTATGGAAATAATTATTCAAAAATATGCTGTGATTGCTGACATCTTAGGCAACAAAGAAGTGTGTTTACACTTTATTATAATAGTATAGATTTATTGTTAGGGTTCAAATTCCTCGATTGTTCGTAGATGTAAGAACGGTTCAAGGTGATATTTATTTTGTAATACTTACGTAAATAATGTGTTATCTCTTTCTAAATACACATACGTAATAAACAAGTATTTAAGTCACGAGATTCTGTTTACAATTAAATTCTTTCTAAGGGATTAAATTTGACAATATATGTCTACGAAATATTTTATAGCTTAATTTGAAAACTAAGTAATTCCAAAGAAATGGTGGAGAAATTGAGAAGCAAATGGTTAGCGTGGTATGGACATGTTATGCGACGAGACGATGGGGATATAAAAGTACAAGTCATTCCACGTAAAGTCTGATGAGTGTGCGTGCCGTATTCTAGTCCCTTTCCCTTCCCGTCTAAGGAAAGAAAGGGAAAGGGAAAGTGGATTTGACAGTGGAGACACATAGGAAAGGAAAATATCCTCAATATTTGCGTCTTTATTGATTATGGGTAAACAAATCATCTGAAATTGTGGATGTTTATGGGCAGCATACGCTTTGCCTTTACGGAGAATTAAGGCGGCCTCTCGCTCGTTTGCTTTCCAAAATAGTAACAAATATCCATCCATCAGTACTTTTGTGTTAATATGAAAAGTATATTTTTTATTGCGTTTTTTTTTCAGATCGTCTGCCCTACAGCATCAGGGTACTCTTAGAGTCATGTGTCAGGAATTGTGATAATTTCCAAGTCCTGGAGAAAGATGTGGAGAATGTTCTTGATTGGGAGAATAATCAGAAAGTTGAGGGTGGAGTGGAAATAGCGTTTAAGCCTGCGAGAGTTATATTACAGGTATGTGTGTCTGTGGGCGCACGAGTGACCCCACAGTCGCTTTAAATTTATAGTGAGAGTTGTGGACCAAATTCTTAATTTAACGTGACCCCTACATTGGAGTCACTATAATTCTATATTAAATTTATTTTCGTATAAATGAAATGCCAATTCGAAATATATCGTGACCCCAATATTAGTGTCACGATAAAACTGTATTAAGATACAGTGAGCCCACTTTGGTATCATTTGGTAATTTTATATTACATTTATATTGACAAATAGGAGGGACAAGTTAATGCAGTGTTCTCAATATTGGGGTCACGATAAGAATATATAAAATCACAGTGACCCCACTTTAGTGTGACTATAATTTTTTTATATTTACATTGACAAATAGGGGAACAAGTTTATGGCGTGTTCCCAGTATTGGAGTCACTATGAAACTTTTGTAAATCATAGTGACCCCACATTGGTGTAACTATATTTATATTGCCAAATGTGAGGGACAAGTTCTTAATATACTGTGTTCCCAATTTTGGGGTCGCGATATAACTATATTAACTCAGTGACCTCACATTGGTGTCACTATTATTGTATTTTTTTATGTCTCATGTAGTGGACAAATTCTTAATATGCCGTATTCGTATTGGGGTCACGATGATACTATATTAAATCACAGTGACCCCACATTGGTGTCACTGAATCCATATTTTTAATTTACCTTCATTTAATACGCATTAAAATTACGTAAATTACTAAACTAAATTTTCCGTGCCCCACAATCGATTACCGTGCCCCACTGGTGTCACTAAATGTATTTCAGGATCTGACAGGGGTGCCAGCAGTAGTCGATTTCGCGGCCATGAGGGATGCTGTAAAGGGTTTAGGTGGCAACCCTGATAAAATAAACCCCATTTGCCCCGCGGATTTGGTTATTGACCATTCAGTACAAGTTGATTTCGCTAGAGCGTGAGTTAATTTACGTTAATTTGTAAACTATATAGTAAACTAGCTGTTCCCGTGCGGCTTCATCCGCAAGAAATTATGAAAATTTTATTTTTTATTGTTTACATCTGTCAAATTATCAATTACAAATGTCAAAATGACATGACATGACAACCTTGCTTCCTTGATGTTGGCAACTTATGGTCTCTTTCCCACTTTAAGGTTTTTATCCAAAATATTCTCCCCCTAAGTTTAATAGCGTTAAAATATATAGCCTAAAGCGTGACGTAAGTGTAGGGCTTTTAATTAAAAAAGGAATTATTCAAAAATATGGTGTAATTGCTGACATCTTAGGCAACAAAGAAGCGTGTATTTACTCTTTATTATAATAGTATAGATTATATCTAAGAATACTGAACAGACATTTCAATATAAAGGCAAGATAAGATGGGAAACGAGCAAGCGGCCACCTGAATCCTCCAAAATGGCGAAGCAACTGCCCATAGACATCCGCAATTGCAGATGCGTTGCCTACCCTTATACGACGGAGGACGAGACGCACATAAAGAGGATATTTCCTCTTCCTATGCATCTCCTCCACCGTCAAATCCACTTCCCCTTCCCATCCTCTCCATAAGTAAAGGGTGGTAAAGAGAAAGAGACTTAAATGAGGCTTCCAGCACCACACTCATCAGACTGTACACGGAATTGCTTCCACTTCACACCTGTCTGTGGTCGTGGTATTGGGGGCGAGCCCTGCAGTGCTAAGATGTTAAAGCGGTCACTACCACTGTTTTTTTTTTCAATAACAATTACAAGTATGTTAAGTGTAATGTAAACATTTCAGGCCTGATGCGTTAAATAAAAATCAAGAATTGGAATTTCAGCGGAATAAAGAGAGATTTCAATTTTTAAAGGTATTTTATGGTTTTGATAATCTCTTTATTAAAAAAAAAAATACAATACTCTAATAGTTTCTACATAAAAGTTTATTTTATTTTAAACGAGCTGTTGCCCTCGACTTCTTTCCTGTGGTATTAGAAAACATACGAACTATAAATAACAAAAAGCTACGTATCCCGGGAACCGGACATTTCTCTGAGATGAAGCTTATCCCATGTGTACTCCACACTTTGTTATATATCTGTGACAAATTTCAATAAGATATGTTGAACCGTTGCAGAATGATCGAGTAAACATTTAAAAAACTAAATTAATGAATCCCACGGGAACCGTAACTATTCCCGGGATAAAAAGTAGCCTATGTGTTCTTCCAGACTATGCTCTAAACCTGTGCCAAATTTCATATAGATCCGTTCAGCTGTTTAGGCTACAAACATTAACATACATCTAAACTTTCGCATTTATAATATTAGTAAGATTACCTGATAATCAGTTCCGGTATTTTCCAAAGCATTAATATGTTTAAGGCCTGTCCCACCAATGGTAAATTGTCTGATAACAATCCAATTTGTAAAATAGTATTATACCCAACCGTCATCCTCTGTCCCACTAGGGGACAGACGTTAGTAACAAGTATCATCCGCCCCACCTCATAATCCCACTATCACCATTGAGAAATAAAATAAATTCCAATTGTCCACTTTTGCAAATGGTGGGACAGATGAAACGTGCACGTGGGGACAGGTCGGAGTGACGATTGGGAATAATCCGTAAAATATGTGATGGAAAGATCGTTGTTCCCTTATCTGAGTGACGTCATACTATCTGAGCCTCTATCAGCCAGTAGTGGGACAGGGTCTTAATATGTATGTATTTATTCCAGTGGGGGGCCCAAGCGTTTGATAATATGTTAATAGTACCGCCTGGATCTGGTATAGTACATCAAGTAAGTATTCTATACAAATATAATAAATAAATAGTATTTTTTTTTAATTTTTTCGTTTTTTTTTCACTTGTAGATTTTTTTTATTATACCAGCGTTTTTTTTTTCATTTTAAGAGTAACTTGTTATAAATGAATTATTTTTATTTTTTAGGTTTTGTATTTTTTTGTATGTTACTAATAAACTCAAAAACTACTGGAGTTATTTTATTAATTTTTTCATTATTAGAAAGCTACATTATCACTGAGTGTTATAGATTGGTTTATGTTAATTTTTTATACGTAAATTATGTTTTTTTGTGTTTACTATTCGTGTAATAAAATTGAAATGTCTATTTAGTATTGAAAGAAAAAAAATAGTAATAATAGAGTAGCATTATTGTAACGGAAAAACGTTTTTTTTTTAATTTTTTGTCAGTTTGTCTGTGTGTTTGTTCCGGATACTCTCCGGAACGGGTGGACCGATTTTGACGGGATATTAACGGGAATGTAGCTGGTTTGAACGGGAATGTTTTAGGATAGTTTTTTTTTTAAATTCTACGGTGATATGTCATTTGTACGTATTTTTGTAGGTAAATTTGGAATACTTAGCAAGAGTGGTATTCACTAATGATGTATTACATCCAGACTCCGTTGTGGGCACGGACAGTCATACGACAATGATAAACGGTCTAGGGGTAGTCGGTTGGGGGGTTGGGGGTGAGTTTTTGTTGGTTTTACAATTTTACTGTTATAGGCATTTAATTCGAAAAATTAACGTGTCTATATTCAAGATATATTGTTATTTATATTGGAATTTATAGCAATAAGGTTGCAAATGAGCAAGCAAAATGAATTCGCTAAAATAGCGAAGCAACAGTTAATTGACATATGCAAGCGTTGCCTATCTTTGAAGGAAGGGAAACACAGATAAGAGAGTATTTCCCCTTCCAATGCATTCCACCATCCATATCTACTTTCTCTTTCCATCTTTTCTTATATTGCTTGTCGAACAATCGAGCGCAATACTGTACATGATGGGTAGTGAATTTAATTCTTTAACTACATTAAAACGTTTCCAATAGGTATTGAAGCGGAGGCGGTGATGTTAGGACAAGCTATAAGTATGTTGTTGCCTAAAGTAGTGGGGTATAAATTGGTTGGTGAATTAAATCCTTTAGCAACGTCCACTGATTTGGTACTGACTATAACTAAGGTAAGTTTGGAGATTATATCGTTTATAGTGAAAAGTAAAAAGCAATTTAAATGTTACATTGTTAATAAAATTTGAGTTTTTGTGTGTGAGAAAAAAATCCTGATTTTTTTGCGTTGATGGCTAAGATTTTTTAGGTTTTTTTTCGAACAAAATACATTAGAGATACATTAGATTTTTATAAGCTATATATGACTAGAACTGAATCGTATTTTTAAATCCCCTAAATAAAACACCAAAAATTAAAAAAAAATCAACGATGGTCTATAATAACCGGACTTTATTTTTTTTAAACGAGTTTTAGTATATAATAAAATACAACGTTAAAAAAGTTCTAATCTTTAGAGATCATTCACACTGCATGGTTTTGAAGAAAAAAAAAACAAAAAAAACATGTTTTTTAGATTTTTTTTCTGTAATTTACCATTTTTTTCTTAATTTTTTTTTAGTATTTATGATTTCTAGGGGTTGTGGGTACATTCGTAGAGTTTTTTTGGTTCCGAAAGTAGTGTATAGCAGATAGAACGACTTTTTTTTTTGAAAATTATTTGTATTTTAATGTTTTTCAGCATTTACGCTCTTTAGGAGTTGTGGGTAAATTCGTAGAGTTCTTTGGACCTGGTGTTGCCGCGCTCAGTATAGCTGACAGAGCGACTGTTGCCAACATGTGTCCCGAGTTCGGTGCCACGGTAGCACACTTCCCTGTAGATAATAGATCGCTGCAGTATCTTGTGCAGACAAGTGAGTATAAAAAATGAAAAAATCGAAAAAAATGGAAAAAATCGGTATTACTAACTTTATACATAAGTTTACATGCATTTTTTTACTGTTTTGTTAGATTAGTAATTGGTTCTAATTAAAAAATAAGTAAAAAAAAGAGGAAAAAATTGCATCCTTAACTAATTATAATAAAAAAATAGTATATTGAACACTTATATCGTGGAGATTAGTAGTACATAGTGAGAATGAAAGAAAAAATCAACAAAATAAGCGGGAAATTTAAAAAAACCACTGTCTTTAACAGTTATTAGTAAATAGGTTAGCATTTTATTTTCTTGCAAGTCTAATTAGTAGAAAAAAAATAATTTAGGCGGATTTTTTGCTGTTCTTTCATTTTTTTTTTCAGGATATGAAATTCTTTAGTATCCCCAGTTTTTTAATTCTGCATTCAATTAAAATGTAAAAAAAAAGTATTAAAAAATAATTCTCTCGTTTTCAGATCGTTCTGATGAGAAAATAAAAATCATCGAAGCCTACCTTCGCGCTACGAAACAATTCCGAGACTACACCAATTCTAATGAAGATCCGATATTTTCTGAGGTAAAAAAATAATTTGACAACTTATAAGGTGGCAAACGAACAAGTAGCCACCTGAATCCGCCAAAATGGCGAAGCGACTGCCCATAGACATATACAATAGCTGATTGCCTACCCTTAGTCAACGGAAGGGACGCACATAAAGAAAATATATCCCCTTTCTGTGCGTCTCCTCCACCGTCAAATCCACGTTCCCTTCCCATCTTATGAGGAAAAGGTTGAGAAGGAAAAGGGTTAAAGCTAGGCCTCCGGCACCACACTCATCAGACGAAACGCGGAATTGCTTCCACTTCACGCCTGTCTGTGTGTCAACTTGACAACAATCTTGACAAAATGTCAAATTGTCAATATAGCATTGTCAAAAGAACAACTTTGCCAACCAACTTCAAACTACTGCGGCCATTAAAATACACTGATTTTCATTGCTTTTTCCATATTTACTAGCTTTCGTCCGCGACTCTGTCCACGTAGAATTAATTAAGTATCCTATATGTTCCAGACTATCTACATGTATGATAATCATCGAGATCCCTTCATTTTAGGATACAAACATATATCTAAACTTTCACATTTATAATATAAAAAAGATAGTGTACCAAATATTAAAAATAATTGCTTGAAGACACTTCAATCGACTTTTAATGTACACTAAAAATGATATTTTCTACGCAATACAGAGACATTCTTAATCAGTGTATAGTTTTCATGAATTTCAGTACATTATTTAATTAATTTTCTTTATATTTCAGGTTGTGGAACTAGATTTAGCTACTGTAGTGACCTCAGTCAGTGGTCCAAAAAGACCTCAAGATAGAGTCTCCGTATCTGTCATGAAGAAGGATTTCAACGATTGTCTGACAAATAAGGTTAGTAAATAAAGTATATTATATCTCGATGATTTTATCTGTCAGTAGTAGCTATCACATACCCAGTGACAGAATGACGACATGTCTACTGAGAAAGTGACAACTTGACTTAACAGAAATATAAGTAACACAAACACAAACACAAATTAAAATGACACACCTGAAAATGATGCAAATATGTCCCGATGATATTATCTGTCAGTAGTAGCTATCACATACCCAGTGACAGAATGACAACATGTCTACTGAGAAAGTGACGACTATTTCCAACAGAAACGAT